ATTCACTTAGTGAGAATGAGAATGTTAACACAATTTGAGCCAAATTTGAAGCAAGATTGATATTTTTTTTATTGTGGTGAATCTTTGAGCCAGTGACTGCCTCCTTTCTTGGGTTAGAGAGAGCAAACCCACATGAATTTAAGGGGTAAAATTATGAGTAGTTATATAGTAGGTTTACAGAAGATAGGCAATGGAGTAATAAAGAAATACAGAAATACATTGCCTGGCAGTGGTGGCACACGTCTTTAATCCCAGCACTTGGGAGTCAGAGGCAGGCAGATCTCTGTGAGTTCGAGGCCAGCCTGCTCTGCAAGGGATAGTTCCAGGACAGACCCAAAGCTACAGAGAAACCCTGTCTCAAAAAAAAAAAAAAGAAAGAAAGAAAGGAAGGAAGGAAGGAAGGAAGGAAGGAAGGAAGGAAGAAAGGAAGGAAGGAGGGAAAAGAAAAGAAAAACCTCAAAAAAATTCATGTGGTCATCATGTGATCAGGGAGGCTCTAGGGAGTTTCAGGGAGAGTCATGTATACAAAGGGTATTCTGGCAACAAGTCAAAGTCATGAGTTCTGGAAGGTCAGGATCCTGGAAACAGAGCAACTCAGCTCTTACAATAAATTGAAACTTAATTTTTAATAATGCAGCATAATGTCTCTTGTTTTCTGTCGGAGCCCGTTTGAGTCCAACACAGACTTCCTAACTTCGCTGGAACAGAGTCACGAGGAATAATCAGACACAGCTTACACCGTCATCATGGAAAAAGCCAGAATCCTCCTTTATTGTCCAAACATCTTATATACCCACACCAAATGAGCAGGAACACACAAAGGCTGTTGCCCAGGCAACCAGGTGCCTGGGCTCTGGTCACTTATGCATCTAGCAGCCAGGTAGGCCCTGAATTAGCATCTCTATAAGATAACCTTCAAATTGCATAAGGAAAGAAACCCCAAACATCCTGACCAGTTTCAGTCAACACCTCTTCTCAGGTAATTCACACTTTAACAAAGGAAGCTAGGAGCAAGGCATCCTGGCTTTTGTTAAGGGCAGACAGCTAGTCTGAGCTATGTATTCAGCTCAAACCAGGGCAATGGCTTTTGTGCCCACAGTTTTCACAATGCAATCAGGAAGGTTCATCAGTTTACCATCCAAAGAACTCCTGTGTAAGATGAGTTAATATACTGGGTAGACAATCAAAAGCACCCCAAGTATAATGTAAAGATTTGCTTTATATTGATCCATTTAGAGTTGTTTATATAAATCTGTGAGGAGTTACATTATTATCCAAGTTCTGGTTTTCTTTTCTTTTCAGTGCTATTGATATTTAGTATTTAAAACCCAAAACCCATTTTCATTTGTTCCACCACCAGATAGTTTCTCCATATTCTTTCCTTGTTCACACATTCCTAATATACTGTCTCTAGCTGTATTTTGTCTTGTATTTATAATGCAACAGATCATCACAGCCCCACTTATGAAAGCCCTGTCTCTCATTTAGTTAACAAGGTCCATGACGTTTCTGATAGCCTCTGTCTTCTCATAAAAAATCGATTGACATAATAGGCTACTTTTATATGAATGTAATATTTTTAAATTTGTAAAATTTGGCTATTTACAATGTAGGAATTCAAGCCAACTACTAAGACTGAAAATCCAAAATCTCCCCTTGAAACTGATAAAATAGGGAATCTTGTGCCCCCTTGTAGGCAGTGATTATGCCCATCATCAGTAAGGAAATTATTATTCACAATGATTAAGCATGAACCTTTCAGCCCCTTAAGCTTGTGATGGAAATTGAGGTAGAACAATTAAAAACTGCAGGAGGTTCTATGGATGGATGTAGGAAGAAATTTCTTGCCTGGACTGCGCATTCCAAAATAACCACTCGGAAGCTTATATGAATTAAAAATCCTCAGTCAATAACTCAGACTTATTACTAGGTAACTCTTATATTTAAATTAACCCATGTTTCTATGTTTTGCCATGTGGCTCATGGCTTTTGACCTCATTTTCTACATGTCCAACTTGCTTGGCTGTTGGCTGTCATCTCCTCTGACTCTGCCCTTCTTTGCATCTTATGTTTGGGTTTTCTGCTTAGCCTTATTCTGACTGGCCATTGGTCAGTCAGCTTCTTTATTAAACCAATCAGAGCATAATTTCAACAGTGTACAGGAATATTCCACAGCAGATGAACATAAAAAATTCAGTAGCAGCTAAGAGACTAGATCTTTAGTTCACCTGTACTTCATTCTTCACACTCTGTGCTACACAATAAAAAGAAGCTGATTCAAAAAAATGAAGTCTACAAACCAAAATAGGAAATGGATAGGTTAAAACCTAAAACGAAAATGATTCAAACAGGTTCACCCCATTCCATCCTTGTTGGTTTTGTCCTTAGTATCTTGAATCTAGAATATCCAGACCTTGCATCTCTTTCATCAGTCAGAGATACTGTTACTCCCCATCATTAAATACCCACTGAGCAGCGTGGATATTCAGAAAGCCTCACCATTACCATTGAGTTGAGTCCTGAGTAGATGCTGAGGTGTGTGGTGTTGGACCTGTACCACATTGTTTCCTGTTGATCTTAGGCTCACAGAGAAGACACCTTGATCTTTCCAAAACAGGAAAAAGTGAGTGTGTCCAGGGCTTCTTGAATTGTGTGTACTGTTTCGGACATTGCAGATACTGTGCGGCTGCTGCTTTGACGTCCTCCATGCCATGTGCAGAGGGCTGTGTCCTAGATTTCAATTTTGGTTTCACCCTTCCCAGAGCTGTTCACGGGGCCTCCATACCTGTTCTGTACCAGGGAAACTACTGGGTCCCAGGCTACTTTCTGGCCGTGGTGTACAGGCACCTGAAACCTGTGCCACCTCAGAATTTGCAGTACTTCCAGGTTGGTGACACTGAGTCAACACTATGGTGTCTCTCAGTGTTCCTCCCAATTTGTTGTCCATAGTTCAAGGGAGGGTGAGAAATAATACAGGGATAAACAAGAGACAATGAGTAGAATTAGGAAGACATCAAGTGAATACTTTAATCTGCCTAATTTTATTTTTCTTTGACCTTATATAGCCCAATCCAAAAGAGGTTGATTGAAGGTAAAAGTCTTCTTTACTGTGACACAAAGAACAAATATATGGAGTTACCTTCTCACATCTCTGAACATCAAGTAACCACACCCTAGAACAAAATATCCTTTTTGTCTAAAGAATACATCCTGTAGCCACCCCTTCCGCCTCAACATTCAGTTGCATAACCTTGAAGGAGCTAGAAGAATTCTGAACTTTCTGACCTTCAGCTAAGGTGGAATGGATTCACCTCTGTGGTCTTCCACACGCGTAAATGTCCCCGAGTGCTGTACTGTGTTGGGAGACTCCTTAACAGCTATGTCTGTGCTGCTTTACAGTTTTCCTGTCATTGTCTTTGTGATTTTATATTATTCTTAGTTTGAACCCTAAGCCATGCTTGGCCTAAGCAAACAAATGCTGGGGTGTTAGACTGGATCGCCCAAGCAAATTTGATCACTCTGTGTATGTTCTGTACTTTAAAACTGTTCATGTGAGAGGATCAAATAAATGGTTTGCTCTCTGAGAGTGTGTGACAATTCCCAGTCATGGAGGAAAAGAGTTTTAAATCAGACATCTTTTCACTACCAATTCTGAGGCAGAAATGGGATATTTGCATATCTTTCCAAGGATTCCTCTTTGGGAGCTCTGTAAGTCAATCAAAGGCTTGGTATTGCACTGACGTTTGCTTGTTTTTCTCTAGGCTTCTCCAAGTAGAAGTAATTGCATGAAGTTATATATAATCAGGAATTAATCATTTTACAGGATGAACTTCTCTGGAGGCAAGAATAGCATTTTCACTAGTACTACATTTCAGGGCACAGAAGACAGAAAGCAGGAAGGAGAGTGGAGTCTGACCTCAGAAGACAAAGAGCTCATTATCAAGGGGCACCTACTTTGCTGCTATGCAGGGAAGGTGTGCGATGGGAGAAAGCGAGCAGAGATCCTTCATAGGGCTGATGGGGCGGGCTTTGCAATGAGGACATTGCACCAGCGTCTTGTAGGAAACCGTGCTATGCAGTCTTTCCTTTTGGAAATCATTTGCCCAAGAGACACAGGCTGCTAGGAGCCTTGCTCCTAATGGGTCCCCTGACCTGGGATGGATGTGTGATTTCGTGAAACAAAGAAAACTGTGACCACCTGTAGGAAACAAGTAGCTGTGGCCACAGATGGCATAAGCCATTTTTATTCATAATTTCAATAGTTTGCATGAAGTTTTACACTCATATTTGTTTCCTTAAGTTTCTAATAATAATAAAAAAAATAATTGCCAGTTTGTTCCCTTATTTCCTTCTCTTTTTGTGCCCCAACTTTCCCACTGGTAATCATTACCTACTTGATTTGTAACTGTAATATCACAAGCATAAGTAGTAAAGCAAGCAAGGATGTTTTCTAACTAGGCACATCTACAGGTAGAAGAGTGTGCCCAGTTGGCTGTCTTTGCAGTTACAGTGTTATGCAAAATGAAAACAAAATTTACCTTTGGTGGTTAATATTTAGCTGTAGTGAAATCTAAAATCTTACAATCAACTCATCAGCCAAGGCTGAATCACTTGTTCTATGTTCTATACTTCTGTATCTCCTATGGAGGATATACCAGGGTTTTCCCTGTCATCCTGTAGATTACATAACTTAGAAACTTAATTTTCGTAGCTGGCATCGCCTATCTCTTGTTCTCAAGTCCCTGTCCTCTCAGCCTTCTGCACTTTTGAGTCCTACATTATTGACACAGTTATTAGAAATGAGGGCATTTGAGTTTCTGTGATTTTGCTTCATTTTTACCGTTCATAGACTTTCTCATTAACTCTTGATATCATCTATTTTATTACATATCTCTTAGACTCTTGTGGTTAGGATCCTTCTTTTCAGAACAATTATGCAAATTTGTAATGTCTTGAACTATTGTGACTCTTTCAAACAGGGTTCACTGGACAGGCAACATCCTGTTCCTGCGAATCCTGAATTTATAGACACACCTGAAACATCAAAGACTTTAGCAGCTGTATCAGGTCCACTGTATATTTTTAACAACATCCCCTTGGCTCATCCAGAGAGTCAACAGGGGAAAGTTTTTCCAAATGCAACAGCCATCTCATCTATTGGGCTCTAAGAAAGTGAAGCTCGAGGCAGCCAGCAGTATGATTTGTGGAAGGAAAGCAAGCACGGTGAGCAGGTAGCACAGATGCTCCTGGGGTCATTCCCCAAATATACAGCAATCTATCCATCACCCTTGCCAAAAATGGGTTAAATTCTCCCAGGTCTCACCAAAGGTAGTGTAAGACTTTAAGACAATTCTGAAACCATTTCTGACAATTCTGAATCCTCTCAGCCTCTGTGCCATAGTGCTTCCCCTCCTCCGCTGGGAACCAGGGACCTAACAGCTACACATGCATGTATTCAGTTACTGACCAATTATCCAAATACGTATGTTTTGATTCGGTCCCCTAGGAAACGGGGTCAAAATGACCTCTTACCTCATCTGATCTGGCAATAGCTCTTTAGCCAATTATTGGTAATAGCCCTTTTGAATAAGCCAATCACAACCCCCCCTTGCTTCTGTGGCCTACTCCTTTAAAAGTAGCTTGTGCCAGCTATTAATGGTCTCTTGGCTTCCCGAATGCTGAGGGATGCTGTCATGACAGAATTAATAAAATCCTCATCCTTTTGCATTGGCAGTGGCATGTGGGGGGTGGTCTGTGGGGGTGACTCCTCCACAGTGACGCTAGAGTCCAACAGGAGAACTTGTTCATGTTATTCTCAGGCCTTGTCCACCAAAAAAGCCCCATGGCTCCTGGCAGCAGGCTTTCTTGGGAGACAGACTTTTTCAGCAGATATTCATCTGTGGGCTGACACGTGGTGAGAAGCTGAGAAGTTTCTGCCTTCCTCCATCCCTCCAGACGTGATGATCCTTTTCAATGGAACATTTTTGAGCTCACCAATGTGGGGGTTCTTTAGTTGTGAGGACAATCAGTAACATCATGACTAAGATTAGTTAAAACGGTCACTGTCATATGAAGAACATCTGTGATGATTGTTATTCTTAAAAAACGATTAGAGAGAGGCTACAAACGGTCCCCAGGCGGGCTGGCGGAGCCCGCCATGGGAAAGCGGCTACAAAGGATCCCCGGGCGGGCTGGCGGAGGGAGCCCGCCATGAGGGCGGCCACAGGAGGGCACGCTTCCTTGGCCCACGGTGGCGGCAGGTAACAGACGCGTAAACACAGGAAATAGCCATAAGTATTTATTAAGGAAGGGGGAGAAAGAAAGACAGAGAAAAGAGATAAAAGGAGAGAGGAGAGATAAAAGAAGAGAGAGAGAGAGAAAAAACGCGTGCGCACGCCAAGGAAGCAGAGAGAGAGGGTCCCAAGATGGCGATGGGCGGGTCAGAGGTTATGGGAGTGGGCGTGGCTAGGGCAGGGACCCAAGAATAATAATGATCTTGTTCAGAGAGGCAATTTAGTTGTGAGTCTAGCTTTTAATGGCTGAATTATCTCAACACCCCAGGATATCCATCTGAAGAAAGTATTGGTAAATGTTACTGTTTATTTCTGTTAATATTTCTTTGTTCCTTTTTTTGTTGTTGTTGTTTTGTTTTTCTTTTTGTTTGTTTTTTTGTTTTGTTTTGCGAGACAGGGTTTTTCTGTGGTGCTTTGGAGCTTGTCCTGGAACTAGCTCTTGTAGTCCACGTTGACCTCCAACTCACGAACTCACAGAGATCTGTATACCTCTGCTTCCCCTCGTGTGCCGGGATTAAATGCATATGCCACCACCGCCCGGCTCACCTAATGGCTTTAAATTCTTGAAACTCTGCCTTCCTCAAGCATGCTGGCAACAAATGTTTGAAACTGCTATTTCCTAAATGTTTTACATACTTTAGGCTGAAGGGGCGGAGTGAGTAGAGCTTGCCAATCAGAGACAGCTTCACTAAATGGAATGAACTGTCCAATGAGTAGCATGGATAGTCATAGCATGCTTCCCTGAAAACCTTTTCAAAGTGTGGCCTAGCAGAGGGAATCCTTGTGAGGATTCGTTTTGGGCAGCCCTATGTTCTGCTGACTGCAGGCCTCTGGGGAGGAAACCAAGACCCATCAGAAGTACGAAATGGTGAGTGCTCTTTGGGCTCCTGCAATCCTGCCTGGCAAGTTTGGGACAGTAGCTTCTTTGTGGCTCCAACAGTGAGATTTCTCCCTGGTGCTTTGCAGTCTAGTGGAAGGCGGTATTCTGTCCCAGCAATGCCTGTGCCAAAGCTGTTTTATTGTGCAGCCCACAAGCAGCCTTGAGGCCGTGGTCTCCTGCTTTTCTGTCTTGGTGAAGTTGCTTCCCCCTCAATCGCCAGCCATCTTGGGTGCATCCACGCTGGACCATCTAAAAAGATTTTTCAGCACTGGCGATGCTGAGGCCAGGCTGTACTGTGTAGGGTCGTGCGATTTTCATAGTTTCGTTCTCCTCTTGTGCCTGGGTTTGGGCTGATTTAGGTTTTCGGGTATTACACTGGAGTTCTTTCCTGTCTCCTTCACCCCCCTCCCTAGTCTGCCTCAGAATTGATCCCCGTGCCTCCCCTTGTGAATGAAGTTTGCCATAAAGCTGAGTCTAACTTCCTATCACCATATCCGTGTTTTTGCATGTTTCTTTTTTTCTGATGATATGGTCGTAGATTTTTTTCTTCCTCTGACTGCAGTTTTGTCTGCAGATGTACCTCTTGTTGTAGAATACAAATTTTCTGACATGGGACACTTAAATATTATTTGCTCCCAAGATCGAAGATGAAGAAGGATCTTAGGCATTGCTAGAATCTGAGAAAACTAATCCCCTTTGAGAACTGCTTCTGACATGCCAGCATGTTTTAAAGTCTTTTCTGTCACCGAGTCTGTACCTGAGTACATATGTAGATATCTTCTGTAAATAACCTACTTTTTCTTTCTCTTCTCCACAATTTATTTAAAGAATAAACTCCAAAGTAAAAACTGAAAAAAAAATTATCAGTCTGAAGACAGAGAAATTTAAATTTGCTTCACGTTTTATTTGTTTCAGCATTTTTTTAGCCTCAAATTAGAATTTTGTAAAGCTGCAGAATGGAAAGATCGTCGGGACTTGAGAGTTTCATGGTAGTGACATGGTATTTTTGTTGCTGCTGCTTGTTTGGATGTAGGCTGATTTAGAAAGAAAGGATTGGGAATGTCAATTCTGTTACAAGTACTGTAGAGTGTTGCAGCCTTGGGGAAAATACTAGTATTTCTTCTCTTTCCTTTAGCCTCTAGTTAGCTGGGTTTGGTAGATAATGTAATATCTGCCTACTGGGGAACTTTAGAATGTTCATCTCAGAGAAAAAGAGTGCTTTCTACTCAATGGAAATTTTTTTTGAACATCGACTTGAGTAAGGAATTATTTATAATATATTTACTACTTTTGTGTGTGTAATTCCTTTTCTTTTCATTTTGCTAATTTATAGTTAAGATATCACTATTTCTTTTTTGGATTTTGTTCGTTTTTGGAGACAGGGTTTCTTTGTGTAATCCTGGAGCTCACATATATACTGTATAATTACATTTCCAGTAATATCCATTCACCTGCAAACGTCCTCTCAGTTTTCTTCATTCCTGAATGGGATTCAAATGAGGACATGAGCCACACATCCATGGTCCAGATGTCAGCTGATGGGCATCCAGGCTGATTCTTTCTTAACTATTGGCTCCAGAGCAGCAATGACCATGAGTGCATGTATCTGCTGTAGTGTTGTTAATTTAATCAATCTCTAGAAAATTAATCAGTTGCCATGTTTTCTTTTGCTCTCAATTCCCATTCTCCCTATCTCTCTTGGTTTTGTAAGACAGGGTTTCTCTGTGGCTTTGGAGCCTGTCCTAGAACTAGTTCTTGCAGACCAGGCTGGCATCGAACTCACAGAGATCCACCTGCCTCTGCATCTTGAGTGCAAGGATTAAAGGTGTGCACTATCAAGGCCAGCCACAATTCCCATTTTCTATGTGGGTATGTTCTTAAATATCTTCTATATTGATAATAAATTTCATTTTGAAATATTTTTGTTAATGAGTTTCTTTTTAGCTAAGACTAGCCTTGAAGATGCCCCGTGCTTCAGCCTTTAGAGTGCAACTGTAGCAGCAATGTCTATTCACAGTCATGGTGTGATGATAATTCTCAGGATGTCTAAGAACTTTGTGTCTTGGGAAGTAAGTTCATGAGGACACTGCAGAAGGATGAACTTACCAAGAACGTGAGTGTGGAGCTGGAAAACTAGTTCAACAATTAAGAGCTCTTCTTATGTTCATACAGAGAACCCAAGTTCTTTTCCCAGCACCCATGTTGGTATCTCTCAATCATATATCTCTGCCTTCATAGAATCACACACACAGAGAATAATAATAATAATATATTAATATTATCACTATTACTATTTATTAGAAAGAATGGCAGCCTAATTCCTATGGCTTCTTTCTGTTAGAATGTCCCATTCTAGTTCTTTTTTTTTTCTTTTTTTTTTGTTTTTGAGACAGAGTTTCGCCTTAGTTTTAGAGCCGGGCCTAGAACTAGCTCTTGTAGACCAGGCTGGCCTTGAACTCAATATCCACCTGCCTCTGGCTCCCCAGTGCTGGGATTAAAGGCCTGCGCTACCACCACCCTGCTCCATTGCTCTAGTTCTATTGATATCCTTTGTGCTGCAGGGTTCACAGTAAAGGCAAGTGAACATGTGTGAGAGGAAATGACCAAGAGACTCTGGCTCTTACAGACAACAGTAGGGATAATTCACTTCTTTTCTTTTATGTTGTAAGAGGTGAAGGATGGGGAGGAGGAGGGCGAGAGGACAAGAATGCATGTCAATGTAATTTATGTCCTGTGTACCATAGCATGTATATGGAGATCACAGGACAACCGACTGTCACTCAGGAGACTTGTACTTTAGTTCAGTCTCTGACAGTGAAAGCATGGTGGGAATGAGTAGTGAACTTGTTAGCTGTATAAAGTGTTTTTTATAACTCGTTGTCTTTAGGATGTCAAAAGTAAATGGTTGCAAACTCTGTATTCGAAACTTAAACCAGGAAATGCATGGGTTTGGTGTCAGTGTACTGGTAAATTTTTATTGGCAACCTGACAAAATCTTGCATGATCTTGGAGAAGGGAGCTTCATTTTAGGCCTGTATTGATCAGAGGAACCTATGACTATCTATGTCGGTGAGGGCTCTTTTGATTGATGGGGGAGGGACTAGTACACAGTGGGCAGCACCATCCCTTTCCAGGTTGTCCTGGACTAAATTGGAAAGTTATCTAATCATGATCCAGTCAACAGGAGACCTCTACTCTGCTTCTTCCATAGTTTCTGCTTATCTTCCTGCTTGGCTTTTCTAGTGCTGGATTGTGACATGGAAGTGTAAGCCAAATGAACCATTTCTTAGACTGTGTTAATTTTGAGTGTGGCATTTATCACAACAACCAGAAGCAAGCTGAATCCCATAGCAATTTCAGAAAACTCTACCACAGGGCATAATCTTCAAAGATATTGTGCGACTATTTTATAAGAAACCAAATTTCAATTGATTAAAGTTGAAACACCCATTAGCTATGGTAGCTGTGGTATAAGAAGACAAATTTGTCCAGCCTTCTGTCATTCTTTCTTTTGCCTTTAGAAGAGAGGAGGATGTAGGTGTTTTATACTTTGTATCCTTACCGTGATAGAATCAATGAATAAAGGCTGTTTATCCTCACCCCCAGTCTCAGTTCTTTCCAATTACTGCTCACCCCATGTTTTCTCCAGAACTTTTGGGTGAGGTCTTGCCAGCGAACCTGTGCTACACAAATTTTGCATGGTTGGCGGGTTTGTAATTCTGAGTCTAGAGGATTCCGTGTACGGACTTGGGTGGCCTGTGCCGTTTTCCTTCTCTTGTGCTTCTGACTGTGCTGACTTGGATTTTCCATCACCTTGGAGTTCTTTCTTCTTTTCTTCCCTCCCCTCCCCCACCTGATCATCCCAGAGTGTGTCCCCATTCCCCTGTGTTAGAGAGGGTTCCACCAAGAGAAGAATCTAGTCCTTTCAAGAATTTTTTTCAACAGTGGTTGGAATGTTAGGCATTTTCTTGGGATGGTCTGTTCTTGGGTGGTGCTCAGGTAATCTTAGATTATGGTCCTTCCTGCAACCAGGTACTGCTTCAGGGTAAACTGCTGAGACTCAGGCCCCATTAAATTTACCAATGGCTGAGCCCTACTCTGGCATGTGATAATGGTTGGTAGGAAAGAACTTCCTTTTTGTGATCTGTTCATTTTGAGCTTATCATGGCTGGCTCCTGCAGAAATCCTCTATGGTTTTTTTCATTTCCCTCCCCACCTTCTCCCTGCCTTTTTAAAACAATATTGTAGGAGATTTTTTTCTTTTCTCCTGACTGCAATTTTTCAAGTTTATGGGTCTGAAGAAAGGGAGACATTTAAATCTGCTTCACGTTTTACTTGTTTGCAGTGAGGCCCAAAATAGAATTTTCAAAATTTGCAGTATGTCAAATGCCATGGACAGTGGTCCAGAGTGGAATCAAATTGGCATTGCATTTCTGTAGCTGCTTCTTCGTTGTAGGCTGTTTTAAACAGAAGGGGTTGGGAGTGTCAGTTCTATAAACAAGTCATTTCCAGTTTTGCAGTACCTGTGAAAAGTACTAATATTTCCTCTCGTTCTGTTAACCTCAGAGAGTTGATTTTTGCAGAGATGTAATTTCTATCCAGTCTGGAATCTTTAGAATGTTCATCTGAAAGAAAGATAAGTATGCTTTCTAAGTAATGAAAAAATGTTTTTTTTTATTTGAAAGTTAACTTGAGTCTGGATTATAGTTATAGTTTATTTATAGTATATTTTTTGTGTGTAGTTATGTTGACTTTCATTTTATTTTTAATTCGTTATTTTTTCCTTGTTTGCTTTGTGTTTTCACACTGTAGTCCTGGAAGTCATTATTTTGACCAGCCTAGCCTTAAACTCAGAAGTCACCCTCCTCTGCCTCAGGCATTCTGGGAGTAAAGTCTTTATTCTGTCTCTTTAGTGTTTTGAATATCATGTGGGGTGGGGACTTTTCTTTTTTCATTCACTCTGTTTGGTGTTCTGCAAGTTCTTGTGTCTTCCTTTGCATATTTTTCTTTAGGTTGCCAAAGTTTCCTTTTATGATTTTGTTGAAAAAACTTTCTGTCCTTTTGAGTTGGACTTCTTCTATCCCTGTTATTCTGAAGTTTGTTTTTTTTTTTTAATGCTATCGCATTTTATTACATTTAATGTGTTCTTTGACCAATAACTATTTCCTCTTTTTTATTTTCAGCACTTGAAATTCTCTCTTCCTTCCCCTGTGTTCTGCTCTTTGTGCTTGCATTTGTGGTTGCTGATCATTTATTCATATTTTTCATTTCCAGAATTCCCTCGGTTTGTGCTTTCTTTATTGTCTCCGTTTCATTTTTCAAGTCTTGAATTGTTTCTTTCACCAGTTTGGTTGCTTTTTCTTGGTTTTCCTTAAGGGATTTGTGGATTTCTTGTGATTTTTTTTCTTTGTCTCTTCCTCCATTTCTTTGAGGGAATTTTTCATTTTCTCTTAAAGATCCTCAAACATTCTCCTAACGTTATTTTTTAGGTCATTTTCTCCTTCTTCATCTCTGTTTGGTGTTCAGGTCTTGCTGTTTGATAGCCACTAGTTTTTGTCTGTGTCGTGATGCTCTTGGCGTGGTGGAGTGTATTTTTACCTCGTCTCCCCGTCGTTTCCTCTGATGGTTGTAGTTGCAGCTGTGTACCTGGTGATGAATCTTCCAGGTGTGAGTGGATTCAAGGCCCCGATGGTTGATCCTCATGGTGCAGTCAGGGCTACAGGTTCCAGTTGTTGGGTCCAGTGGGGTTGTTCAAAGATGAGAACACCACCAAGTCTTGTAAACCTAAAGCAAACTTTATTCCAGAAATCAGATTCCAGGAAAACCAGGAGCACACTTAATAAAAAATAAATAAAAAATAAAATACCACGGGGCAAAGAGGCTTATCAGCTAGCTGAGATCACAGACTGCTAGGGCTTCTGACACTGTGGCATAGACTAGTTTCTGAACCTACCATTGTACTAAGGGCACCAAGCATTAGGTCTGGACAGAGGAATTTTTCAACCTTGCCCTGACCAGTGAGTTATTCAAGGGAGACTCTAAAGAGGGGAGTGAATTCTTATGTCAATTGGTAACTAGGCAGCTATCATGAAATATGTTTCAGTTGAGATTACAGAGAAAGCACTAAATGCAGGAAAACAGATGTCTTTAGCAATTAGTCAGAAGCTGGGTGGTGGTGGCACAGGCCTTTAATCCCAGCACTCTGGAGGCAGAGGTGGGCGGATCTCTGTGAGTTCCATCTCAGCCTGGCCTGCAAGAGCTAGTTCCAGGACAGACACCAAAGCTACACAGAAACCTTGTCTCAAAAACAAACAAACAAACAAACAAAAAAGGCAATTAGTCAGGAAAGAAGCTGCTAGTAATATTAGAAGGTTAATAAATTAGGTTTAATTGGTTTTTAGGCTGAGAACTTAGAAGATAGCAGACAGGTTTTCACACTATCTCAAGGTTAAACTCAGGTACTGACTACCATACTTTACAACCTCTATTATCAGAGCTCATTAATTAAACCAGTGTTTGTACTTGTCCACTGTCTCTC